GGTCCTTAGATTTGACCAGGAATATCTTTTGGTGGCAGGTTGAATGTTAAACCACAGACTATCCAGAGGACTTGAAGGGGGAGGAAGTTAAACACAAAATGTAAATTGCGTGTAGAAAAGCTGAGAAGATGAGCGGATGGGATGGCAGATGATTAGAGAAATACAGCTATGGTGCCCAGTTGTGCCCATCAACACCGCAGTATTCTGTAGTTTCATTTTCTCCTGCAGTGCTTTACTTTTTGGCCTCCTTTTTGAGAATTAAACCTAAAGCTGAATCTTGCAGACATTATTCTACATATCAGAAAGGACTACTTATACTTGAAAGGAAAGGTATTAATTTTTTTGTAACCACAGCATGCCAGAGATGTTCACACCTTGCCCAGCAGAATGGGTGAAAAGCCAAAAATATATGGGTTTTTCCTTTGATATGAAAATATTTGCACAGCTATTATAAAGATTTAGAGCTTTAGTTTCCAAGATAGCACCCCTGTTGTTAATCCCATCTGTACTCTGTGGGATATCTCTAGTGACATACCACTAACATTTGAGGTAAAAATAGGCTCTTTTGCTGAGCGATGGTAAGGAACAAGACTTCTGCTGTGGTTGAAGTTATCACGTAGTCATATTCATTTACACGCTGCTCATGCTGACCTATATCAACTAGCAGAAAACTGAGAGTAGGTACAAACAGATTGGGGGATAACACTTCTTTATGCTGTGCAAAATCAATGCTTGAATCTTCCAGGTAGATGCAATGTGAAAGTGGCTTTTTATTGGTTTTCTTTAGGATTTCTAGGCTTTTTCTAGGATTTTTATTCACTAATGTGAATAAAATCTGTGATTTAAATCAGTATTATAGTGTTGAGATATCAGCAGCAGTTGAGAGATGCCTCTCCGGAGCACTGTGGAGTTATTTTATGCAGATTGATGGGGTAGTATTTGAAAGCATGACATTTTTCCTTTCAGTTTATGTGGGAGATGTATTGAAATTATTGATCTGGCTTTGAACATCCATTAATGTCCAGTTAGCTTTTACAAATGACTCTTGGGTTTTCTGTGTGTGTCTTGATTTTTATTTTTTTTTCCCCTGCTAAGCTAACGAAACGCTGATTTCAAATAAATGTTTTGCAATATAGATGTGAAATGCTGTCCTATCTTCAGCATCTTTAACCATCTTGCCTGGCACTTTGCTGTCATTCTCAGCTTTGCTTTGAAACCTGTCCCTTACTTCCTTCCCACTCGCTGCTGAAAAATCCAACCAGCCTTGCTGCGGGTCACACGTGTATTAAATATACCCCGATCCAGAAGGAGCCATTGCCTCCATAGCCCCATAGCTAGAGCAGGTGAGAGTTAAAGCACACACACACATGTGAAAAAATAACACCTTTGCTCCACGGAGTCTTTATCTGTGTGAAGTGGAGCAAACCTGGGAGGGGAGCATGAGCCAGAGCTGCCGTGCTGTGGCCAGCACGGTCGTTTCCCTTGGGAAGTGGGACGTTATCGTTCACATCTGACTTAAACCTGCTGACTGCCACGAACGCTAAGCTGTTACCTGTTTGTACATGTTTCTCTTTCATTTTCCTGTTGTAAGCTTTCTGGTCAAGATATTTTGTAAGGTATTTCCTGATTTGTCCTCTACATTAGGTACCTGAAACATTGCACAGAATTAGTATACACTAGGTGGGAGCAAAAGATGAAAGACTTATTTTAGTTCGCTTGGTGGCAGCTGTGGAGCTTTACTAAAGCAAATTGTTTAATTTAATTAATTTTCCAACCTGAGAGTGAAGTGCCTGTGCGCTCAGTAGGCAAATCCCTTGTGGAAGATGCTGGCTCAAACCACACGTAGTGAGGAGAAATAGGTGGTGGCACCGCAAAGCTGACAGGGGTACAAGGATTTATGTGGGTTACCAGTAGAGGAGCTGGGACAGTCCCTCAGCAAGCAGTTGATGGGGAAGCAGCACAGCGGCCACCTTGCCGGCAGCTCGGTAACCTCCACCTGGCACCTCTCGCCCCACGTGTGTCGATGGAACCCACTGGGGAGGACGGGGGCGAGCGATGTTGAAAATGCTGCCGTTTCTGCGGGGCAGCGCCTGCCTCCAAACCCGTAAAGGATCTTGCTGATGCTGGTTGGTAATTGCACTCCTGCCCCTGTATTATGCCTGTGGTCTGTAAGTGTTGGCATGCTGTGTTTAAATTGAATATATCTATATGCTTGTGTAGAACCTGCAGGATCCAGTGTGAATGTTCCAGCCTCAGTGATTACATTAAATTATTAAAATCATTTTCAACAGATAACGATCATCGTAGGTACGGTTAGAAGCTTTTGTTCTGAACTGCTTGTCTTTTAAAATAAAACACTTTTCTGTTTTCTTTTTTTAAACAAAACCCTTATCTGCTGGTGAACAGGCATCGGAGGAAGTGTCAAAATCTTTGCAAGCAATGAAGGAAATTCTGTGTGGGACCACAGACAAGGAGCCACCTACAGAAATCGTGGCTCAGCTGGCGCAAGAGCTATACAACAGTGGCCTTCTAGTGACGCTTATTGCCAACCTGCAGCTGATAGATTTTGAGGTAGGTCAGCATCCATAAACCTTTTCATCTCCTTGGTTTCAGTGTTGTCAGTGAGTAGAGCTCTATTTTTCTGAAGTCTAAATAATTTTATTGCATTCAAAACTGTTTTTCACATGCTGAAGAAAGTAGCTGCTGTAGATTGGTTAGTGTCCTGATAGACGTGCTCATGTACTGGAAGTAAATGCAATGCATCTGATTTTTTTTTTTAATTGAAACAAAAAACAATAAAGAAATATTGCCATGTGTATCCAAACAAGATAGGAAATGATGCTGAGAATACTGTCTGTGATCGACCTTGTAAGCTGCAGTGATGAACCTCTTACTTTGGGATAGTGCAACTGCAGCCAACTGCCGACTCTGAAGAGTGTCTCCAATTTAGAAAGGGTCCAGGGACATGGAATAAAAATATTTGGAAGTCATGTGAAAAAGACTGAAAAAAATTAGGATGGTTTAGTTGAGAGTAAAGGGGTTGAAAAAAGTGTTAGAAACTGACAGCAAGTGGCAAGGTAAATTGGGTTGCCCCCACTTAATTCTTTGGATTAAAAGAAGAAAGGAATATAACTTTTTTTGCCAGCAGAAAGATTAATATGAATATATATGTGTGTGTGTATATATATATTATTTAATTTTATATATGTATGTATAAAATTACATATTCCATGGAACTTCTTGCCAATTTTGTTGTTAAAGCCAAAAACTTAGTAGACAACTACTAAGACAACTGAACTTGCTTATAATAAGGAGAGGAGTAGTTATGGTAGAAAAGATTGCAGTAATTCAGGATAAATATAAACCCTTTTAATTGACCTTTTACTGGTAGGGACTGGGAAGAAAACTTCGTCACTGACAGGTCATTACAGTATTCCTGTGGTCTACAGTCAGCGGGGATAGCAGTCCCCAGGGATGGCTGTTATGCGTCCTGCGATTTCTATGGCTCCAGGGCGCTGGTGAATCGTCACAAGTGTCCAAGCATCTCCGAGCAGTGAGAAATCCCCAGCTCCCAGGAACCAAATCTCCGCCGCTGAGGTCTGAAGCAGGAGCGGTACCCAATGTATAGGGCAGGGCGGCTGCTGAATTTAAAAATCAGTTCCCCAGCGAGATCATCTGATGCTCTCAGAGCCACCTTTTGTGGGAGTTACTTTCTTGTGGAAGTTTTCTCCCATTATGGAAGTTATTTGTTGTTACTTTACTTTTCTTTCCATTTTGTGAATGAATGAAAGGGAGGAACGATGGGAGATTTATGTTTTCTTTTCCCCCCTCTTCTCCCCACCCCCAGTAAAGCCAGGATTCAAGGGACTGATTTATTTATTTTGTATTAATTTTTGAAAATGTTGTTAGTGGAGTTCTCTCTCTCTTCCTCAGGTCTTAAGTTCAGGAGATTTTTTTTTTTTTGCTAGAATTTATTGAGATCGTTTCATTTGTCTTCTCCCTGCCACCCCTGGTTACTGTTAAATGTCTTAATTACAGAAAAAAAAAAATCCCAACAACCTAAAACCTAAAAATCCAGTAATTTATTTACTTGTTTTTAAGAAAAAAGGAGAGGGGGGAGGAGAAGACTGTAGCAAATACACTGCAGAAGGGAAACTACTGCATTTTTTTAGTTACCTGACAGTCTGTATTGCTTTTGTCAGACAAAAAATTCTGTATGGACATATTGAACCTACAGTCTTCAAATGCAAGCACTGAATTAAATACCTAATCTGTTGCTAAATTACTGTTATTACAAACAATTCTAATAACTCTTATTGCAAAATAGATTTTTCCATGATAAAGCCTTTTCAATCATTTAGCAAAGCTGTTATACATACTCTTTTGGCAAAACAGTAGAAATGAAATGTCATTGAACAAGAGGATAGTAAGAGCATGTGCTGCTTTGTCTTCATATTCCCATTGATTTTTTTCAGTTTATCAACTTTTCTGCTTCCATTTTGTTATATTGGTGGCCACAGTTGGCATTTAGGTTTTTTTGTTGAACAAGCAATTTCATCACTTTATAACATGCAAATTAATTTTTTGATCCGTATGTAATGGTAGAAAGCAAACTCATAAATTACTTGAAAATCTGGTTTCTGAAGGGAATAATGTTTATGTATGTTACTTTGTTTTGTCCTGATTCCCTGTCTCCTCCTCACCAACCCTGCTGCCCACTTTGATCCCCATTTTGTACAGCTGTACTTCCCTTTAAAGATGTGTTTTCAAAGACTTCATGAAACTTGATGGCTGTTTAGAGGAGCGAGACCAGAGTTAATGCCCCCACTGAGAAAAAGACAGAAGCACAGACTCGAGTCCTGTCTCATTTGTGTTTCATCTGCCAGTACACTTACAGCACGTGTGGCTGGGGTCGGGCTGGTGTAGGGGAGACTTGCACACGTCCATCACATGTCTATAGAAAACACAGGTTTATTGCTTCTGCCGCTCAAGAAACAAGTTATAATTTGGGTGATGATATTGTTATGAAGCACTAAAGTTGGGTTTGGGCAGGAGCCCAGAATCAAGATCAGACTGGATTTTTGGAAATTTAAAATATGAAATTTATTGTTGAACTTTGAAGAACTGAGGAAAGTGTGCATACAGAAAAATTCAACGAAAAAAATAGATGTTACTAACTGCATGTAAGCCTAAAGATTCATAGAATCATGGAATCATTAAGGTTGGAAAAGACCTCTAAGATCATCGAGTCCAACCATCAACCCAACACTACCATGCCCACTAAACCGTGTCCCTAAGCGCCTCATCTACACGTCTTTTAAATACTTCCAGGGATGGTGACTCTACCACTTCCCTGGGCAGCCTGTTCCAAGGCCTGACCACTCTTTCAGTAAAGAAATTTTTCCTAATGTCCAGTCTAAACCTTCACAAGCTGTAAAGCCACTAAAAGAGGCAGTAAATAGCCACAAGCCCAGGACTGGTGACGTTACAAGCTTTCCCTTTGTCTTGAAGCAGGAGCTAAATTATGGTATAGGTATCATGCAATTTGTTATTTATATAATGGCATCCTTTGCAGGTTTTTTTTTGTTCTTGGCTAGCCACTTTCTCTCCATGCTGCCTTATCTTGTGCTTCAGTGGCATATGTATTTCATTATAACACAAAACTGAATCGCGGATACAAGTAAGAAGTGTTGCAAAAGTATTCCTAAAATTTTTGTAGATGTCTGGTGGTGAGGGAAGTCTGCCTTGGTTCCCTCCTATCTGCCTCCATTCCCTCCAGGAGAACCCAGAGAGACCAACTTCTATGGCTTTCGCCATCACTGGTCTCTAGAAAATGTCATATCATTGGATATATATATCTCCTCTCTGAGATATATAGATAGATATATAGATATCTCCTCTCTGCTATTGGATATAATGCTGCAGTGCACCTAATACTAAGTAACTAATATAAAATTTGGCATAGCAGAGAGGATCACTTAATTTTTGGCCATTTTCACCTCGCCTTTTCAACAGCTCTTCTCTGTCTGGATTGTTTTTGTCTTGGAGTAACTGCTGAAGCCGCTGGGGATCACAGGATTCCAGACATACGTTACAGGTGTTGTAAAGATAGGGGAGAATGGGATGACTTTATAAAGCATTAGGCTAATTAAGAGAATGTCCAAGGGTCAAAAGTGTTGCAGACAAAGGCAGATGGACTGGTCTGCTCTGATTTGATTCTCCTATTTAATTCCCCGAGTCCCCGAGTCTCCAAGCCAGCTGGGTTGGAACGAGTAGGAAAGCAGAATATTTTGTGTTTCTCAGCAGTGATTTATTTGTAGAGGTGAAACCAGGGAATTTCCCTCTGTGTGAAACTATCTGCTCCTTGGCTTCAAACGTTCAATAAGTTCTCCGCCAAGGAATGTTTGTCCTCTCGAGACAGATCAATGAGCATGTACAGATTATAAGTAACCTTTTGCTTAGCTTGCCCTGTGCATAGTGACCCGCTGTTGACTCAGTGCCTTGGTTACCGGTCATTAGTGCAGCAGTCTCCCCCCTCCATTAATTTCACAAATCAATTTGTCTCCTGTGGCCAGGGGAGAAGGCGGTGGAGGAGGAAGAGGACTTCTAATGCAAGATGTATTGGCAAACCCTGTGGCTGAATAGAACATAATTTGGAAGGGTCTTCTGAAAAGCTGTTTGCATGGGGAAGCATTTGAAAACAAAACATGATTGTGCACATGTGTGTATATAGGAGAAAATTAGGAAAAAGTGAAGGATCTTAGTTGTGACCGAAGCAGAGACATGTATGTGATGCAGCCTTTCTATCAGTAGTAATTATTTCATTCTTCATGATGAAATAATGGGCACAGTTTTAAATTTAACTCTGATTTTCAAAAGTGCCATCACACATGGCGTTGATTGCATTTGACTAATGAAAAGCTTTAGCTTTTTAAGTCCAGGCTGTGGGGCGGTGTACTTGGTACTAGCTTGACAACTTAAATTTGGAGGCTGTCGGAGCAATAGTACACACTGCAAAAACATGTTTTGCTCAGGGTAGTGGCTTGCTTCTTTGGTACTGTAATGTTGCTATTTAAGATAGCCAGGGACTTGCTTGACAGAATAAGGGGGATGGGCATCTTCATTTAGAAAGAGAGAGGTGTAAATGGGAGTGGGGGAATCAGTAGTCTTCAGAGCTACCCAACGGAGGAAGTCTTCTTGTGGCATTGAAGAAACAGCAAATATAAAGTGGTGGGACTGTGGAAAGCCCAAAAAAGAGACTGACTTGTTTTGTTTTCAATTTCATTACTACTTTAAATAGAGATTATAGTAAATGGTCGTTTGTTCATGTTTTTCCCGTTGAAGATATATTTTGCTTCTTTAACAGGGCAAAAAGGACGTTTCCCAGATATTTAACAACATCTTGAGAAGACAAATTGGCACACGCAGCCCTACTGTGGAATACATTAGTGCCCATCCACATATCCTATTCATGCTTCTAAAAGGGTGGGTGCTTTAATTTGATTTTCATTAAAAAGCATTGCCTGGAACATGCTGGCATTGCAGTTGATCTACTTGCTCACTTTTAGTTTAAAAAAAAAAAAAAAGATTTTCAGATTTTGTTCCAGATTTCTTATTTTGTTTCTTTCATATTGACTTTCTTTCTACTTAACTGTATACTTTTTAATGACTGGATTATTTTATTTGGCCATTATTTCTTCACCAAACTTCATGTTGGAATAATTATGTGCTGATTGTTTTTGACTGCTCCCCAGATGACGTGTACTTCAGTTCTTGCCCTAAACTCTTGTGTCGCTTTGTTGACGACTGCTGAGTTTCATTTAGACTTTTTTGCATTGCAGGAATGACTTATAGTGGTGTCTGTAAATAACTGGAGTCAAATGCTGGACCACCATGTGGTAGAACAGAGAGAAGCAAAAATGCATAAAAAGAATAGTTATGTCTGTGGGGCAGACTTCTTCAATGCTTGTAGCCACATGTGAACTTCACCTTTAAATTAATTCAGTAATGAACTCCATGACTTTCAGCATTTAATCTTTTTTTTTTTCTGTCTTTTAACCTTTGAGGGAGTCAGTGCTCAGCTGTAACCCAGTGGTTCCCAAGGTAAGTTGGCCAAGGAGGGGGAGTAGACTGTTGTGTGGAGAGGACATCAGCTGTAGTTGCATTCAGGAGCGCACGAGTGTTGGCCTAAAACTCCTGAGGTTTCTGTCCCCTTTACTTTTGGCCAAAAGCACCTTCCGTTCAGCAAGAAGTTTTGCTTTTCCAGCCCTTGAGGTCTACTGCTTTCTGCTCGGTTTTCTGTGGTTTTAAACCACAGAAGCCAAAGAAGCCAAAACTTCAGGATTTTTTTTTTTTTCCCCCAAGGAAAGGAGAATATATGTGATTGGGATTAAAGAACTGATGTAGAAATAAGTGCATTTATTAGCTGATTAGTATGAAACAACGTGGACTCTCATTGTAGTTGTATGGTCACACTAGCAACAGCCATTCAAAAACATGACATAAGCCTTTTAAACTAATGGTTCTTAAGAGAATGAATTTTTTTAAATGTCTTTCGTGCTCTTGAGGCTTAAGATTTGCATTTTTACCATTTGCTCCACAGCCAGAGTTAGGAAAATACTTAAGCACCGTCTAAGGTTTGTGCATGACAAGGCTGCAGCCCCAAGGGTAAAATTCCCTTCAGCCTCCCCCCTCTCCCAGGGGCAGACCGGAGCTAGGAGAAGGATAAGCACGGGAGTCCTCTAAAGTAGTTATTTCCTTCAAAATCAGCCACATTCCAGCACAGCTGAGCAGGGAAATAAGTAACTAGTCAGTATCGGGGATTTCGAGAACTGTGAGCTTGCGGTTGAGCGTGGTGGCAAAGCTCTTGGTGGCTGCGATAGGAGGGGGTGTGGATTCGGTAGCCCAGGCAGGTGGCTGGGCTGAGCTAGGTCTTGCTCTTACAAGTGTAGTCATTTGTCGTGTTTTAGCTTTAATTTTGAAACTCTTGACTTGTTTTGTGTTACTAAACGCCAGCTTCCTCAGAAAGGAAACCAGTAAGTTAAATTGATTTTGGTTTCATTTGTTCATTAAAATTCACCATTTGTATAAACCTCAAACTAATTTTTTCAGGACAGTGATGATAATTCTCTCAGTCATCGTTAAGTTGTACAACTGTTTTCAATTTCTTATATAGATACAATCATTTTCTTCCCTCTTCTCTGTCTTTGCTTTTGCGATCTCCTCGCTTTTTCACTCATTTTGTTTTTGCACGTTGCGCATGTATCACTACCATATGTCTGGGCTTTATTTAAAGCTAAAATATATTTTTGGATCGTGTCCCAGATATTCTTTGGCATCTGAAACAACCAAGAATATTAAGATGATAGTAAAAATTTTATGTTATGCAAACGTACTGCTGACAGACATTTTGCTGTAGGTGACCTGAGCCAGTGGATGTATTTGAATGGCATCACTTAGGTGCTTTTGAAGATTGCAGCTGCGTGCAGCAGCATGTCCATGTTAGTTTGGTCCTCAGGCTCCTTGTTCTTGATTTCTTGGCTATCTCTCCGCACCACCGCACTGTATCAGCATTGCCATTTCTGGAGTTTCTCGTTAGAAAGTGCTGTTGAATTCATCAGCAGCAGTCCAGAAGACAGTCCTATCCAGCCCTGACAGTATCAGAGCAGCTGCTGCACAACAGCGTAATGATGTCAAACGCAATGCTGTCTTACCTGCCTATGTCCTGCTGCCAGGACTGTCTAAAAACAATACTTAAAATATGTGCCTAAAGCAGGGGTAGGGCCCCGGCACGCGCAGCTTGCTGTGTGCAGGCAGAGTGCCGTGCTTGTGTGCAGTCAGCCGTGAGACTGGGAAACACGCACTTCGTGTTAGACACCACCACTTGAAAACGTGACTTGAGGATGAAGTTAAATGAAATATCAAAATCTGGTTAAAGGAAAGGAAAGTGGATTTGGCTGGCTTGTACCATTCAGTGTTTGTTATATGACATTATTCGGAGAGGAAGAAAAAAAAAATTTCAACCATGACTATAAAAGAAACAGCCCAGGACTATTGTGAAGGCTTGTCATTGTTTTACTTGTATTGGATGCGAAATTTCCCAACAGCATCAACAAAAGGTTGCTTTTTCATTGCATAATGTGAGCTCTGTTGAGTGGGAAGGATCCTGAATCAGAGCTCCCGCCCAGTGTTTCCTGCCTAATACTCCAGCGGCACTGCCAGCTTGAGATAACTGTTCTTACCTTTTAGGCTTCATTTTACTTGTTGGCTACTTCCTTCCAGCTTCTCAGCTTCAGAAAAACATACAGCACATAGTTCACTACTTCTTTTTTTTCTTTTTTTTTGTAGGTTAGTTGACCTTCCTGCTGCATGAGGACTTGCTTTAATAGTATCTTATTTTCTGTGTGTGCAGGCTTTGTGTATGAATAGGATTTCAGATGAATATGAAGTTTGGTGTATATAGAATACTGGATATATTTGGGCCAAATTTTTCTCTGGTGTCAGCATATTGCATTATCCCAGAAATAACTTTGGTCTTTTATAATTTAAAATATTTTCCCTCTAGTACCATGACTGTAGAGGACTTGAAGTTTGTGGCACTTGCATTGTTTCTCACAAGTGACAAATTTATAAGCTCCTTTGTGAATATATATCATGCCACATGCTATCTAATGTACTCAGTCACTGCCCCAATCTGTTTTGTGATGATCTCTTCCTATCACAGTGCAGTTAAAGCTTTAATGGTATATTGGCTAAAGTTGCAGAATTCCCCTTGAGTTTATCCAAGGATAAACTCAAGCTATAGAAGTTAGTATAAAATCAGATCAGAATATAGCTGTTTGTCAAGACCTTGTGTCTCCCAGGCTCGATGCCTTCCTAATCTCCTGTGCTTCCTAATCTTCTTACCTTGTACTGTCTTCTGCACTAGCCACGAGTGTGTTTCCCTTTGTGCTGAGATGCATCTCTGCTCTCGGTCTTGCCTCTTTCACCCTCCACAATAAGTATTTTGAAATATTTCAAGTCCATTATTTCCTTTTCTGGTTGCCCCTGGTAGTCAGTATGTGGGAGTTTCTTTAGGTTGTAAGCTCATCTGAACAGAGAACTCCTCTATATTTTTTTCTGCTGCAGGAGTACGTCAGCATAGAGCACTAATTGCTCATTAGAAGTGATTTTGAAGCATATCTCTATCATTCCTGCCTGGTGGCTTTGCATGTAAGTGTGGGTGCAGAGAACATGCCAGTTATGACTAGGCAGCCTGTAAACTTCTTCCAGGCATATTCCAGGAGCCAAACCCAACTTCCCTCGCTTATGTGAACAGCCAAAGGTCCATAACCCACTTCCAGATAATGGAGCATTTGACTAAGAATGATTCTGTTGATACTTGTGTTTTAAAAAGTTATTGTGCTGGAAACAATGTAATTTGCTTTTATTCCAACCAAAATATTCCATAGCCAACTATTAAATATTTTCCTGGCTGCACTCCTAGGAGCAACTCCGCCTCTTCTTGCTTGAAAATTAGTATTCCTGTTAATGGAGTCGAGGGGAGGTACGCCTCAACGGAAAATATCAGCAAATCTCCGTTGCCTAAAGAGTTATAAATTCACGTTTGCAAATGTTTCCCAAAAGGAAACAAATAGGGGCTTGAGTGCCTGCATTTCCTTGAGGGTGGGAAGTTTCATTTGCCTGTTTGGAATAGCAATTCATTTTTCATGAAGCCAACAATTGTTGACATCAGGTTGAAGTATGCAGCTCTGGTATGCTCGCAAAACACTACCATTCTTTTAAATTGCAAGCTGGTGGTAAATTTGAGGGCCCACTCACTTACAGCACAGATGGCATTTTGTGTTTTTCTTCTGTTTTTTTTTCTCTTTTGGCCTAGTGATAGGAATTAATTGTGCAAAGGGAAAACGATGCTGATAAGCTCTGGGTGATAATACACAGTTCTGATATAGTATAACCAGCTTACTGAAACAGAGCGTGCTTTCTGTCCCCTTGGACTTCACCACTTTCACATGACTGAAGATTGCTGGAAGAAGTTCATTTTAAGTCCTTCCTGACTGTTGGACTTTATCCTTTCTTTTTTTTTTTTTTTTTAATTGTGTTTCTAACAGTTTTGTTTCAGATTAGTTTCAGCTTTAAAGAAATCAAGACTTGATAGAAGTAGATGATGATCTGAATTGCTTCCCCCCTTCCTCCCTCTCCAAGACCGAGAAGTGTGCTGGCTCCTGGCTATTGCAATGCGTGTGCCACAAGAGGATTGTAACTTAAGGAACGAATACTTGTCTCCTGAACAAAGTCATAGCCTCTGCAGAGGAGGGATTGAGCAGAATTCCTCCTAAACTGCAAAAAAGATCTTCAGAGCTACAGAAAGCTTAATCCTGTGTAGACTGCCTGGATAGACTCTTCCTACTTTCCTCGTTAGACATTAATATTCTAGAGTGACATTCTCTAGAAGAGGGATGGGAGGTGATGGATGGTCATGAGGTGTTGTATTTTTCTTGGATAAACTGAGGAGCTCAGAATTAAATCCGAAAAGGGAGATTGTTATATTGTATGGGCTTTGCTTTCTCATAAATCTAAAAGGGTGAAGGAGCTCTGTTGAAACGTTACGCGCTCCCCATGGTCCTTCCGCAGAGAGGAGGTGTAATGCACATTTACACCGAAATGTGTTTTGGCTTGCGAAGGCAGAGGTTTGCGATGGGAAACACTGGCAGCCTTATCCATGCGTCTGCTCCTTCACTGTGGGCTGAGGTCCTGAAGCTGGGTACAGTGCTCTGGCGGGGAGCTGCCGTCCGAGTGTTGTGTTCCCTCTGGCACACGCGTTTCCTATGCTACAAAGTTCCCTGTCGCTAGAAAAGGGCCCCTTTATCCTTGTTCTTCTACGTTTTGATCTTTTCTGTTTCTTTTCATTTTTCAGATATGAATCCCCAAATATTGCCTTACGCTGTGGAATTATGCTGAGAGAGTGCATCCGGCATGAACCCTTGGCCAAAATCATACTTTTTTCGGAACAGTTCAGAGACTTTTTTAAATATGTGGAATTGTCAACATTTGATATAGCTTCTGATGCCTTTGCTACATTCAAGGTAAATTATTTGATACCTGCGTCGTAGCGTTGTGTCAAAAATGGCACTCCATCAGTAGTCGTCACTGAATGTTGTGTTGCCTTTAAACTAGGTGACTTTTTTATTTTTCAGTAAAGGATATAATTAATCCTTGGCCTGTTTGTAACAGGATTCACCACAGTGATCAAGTCTGCAAAGAATCTTTAATTCAGTACAGATTTACATTTCACTAATGTTCTTCATCTTGATAACCAAAGGCCTTTTTGCAACCATTTAAAACTCAAATTAATCATGTATTATGTACGGTTCATGTAAAATGTATAACCTTTTTCTCTCCCTACCTTCCCCTGGAGACAAAACCACTACCCATCATGACCACAACCAGTAAATAGAGGGAATAATTTAAAATTCACTTTTAAAATCCTCTAATTTTTGCTGACCCTTCTGAGTTCAGCAGTCAAGTTTAGATTGATGCCGTGCCTGCTGATTATTTTACAACTCATTTGTATGCTTACTTTTGTGACCCATGGTTCAGTGTAAGAACTGTACTGCTACGAGCTAAGTAGGTGAAAGCACCGTGTACGCTCTGTATAGAGTCTCTGTGTTGTATTAAAAATGAAGCTGGGTGAAGCTTGGAAAATTTCTTGGAGTTTGTATGTGACCATCATCTTGCCTGCAGGGTGCTAGTATAGTCTTTGAGCAAAATTTGGTGCCTATGAGCTTAATGTACAGGGAAGATTAGTCTATTTCTGAAAAATAATTTAAGAAAGCTGGGGAAAATTCTTTTCAGGTAAAGACTCTTCTAAATATAGACATAACTCCTTTTCTTCTTCTATCACTGGGTTCCTTGCTGTCATAGAAACACGTTGTTCATTCTTTCCTCTCAAAGCTAATTAGAAACATGATTAGATAGAGGTTAGGAATAACTGTAAGGAATATTAGAGTTCAGCTCAGCGATTCAACGCATACTGAAACCCAGCCTCAGTTTTTACTAACCTACTGAATGGGGTAAAGATTTGCATAGTGGAGATAACATCGCATTCGTCAGTAATAAGTTGAGCAGGATTACCTATTCAAACACCCGTTAATCAATAGCAGCATCTTTCAATTATTTTAAGTCGCACTGTCATTGTGTTCATTAGGTAAATGTTATGAAAGTAGCACAGTAGCACAGAAATACAGACAAGTAAAGATACATATGTAGGACTGTATAAACATGCAACTGAAATATTTAAATCCTCTGTCTCTGGCATTTTAGCCTATGCTTGGAAGAGTATTTGTCTCTGGTCAGAAAAAGCACTCCTGGACTCTGTTCCCAGCTTGGCAGAAGAGATTTGCATCTTTTGCCCAGGTCCTGCTTTGAGCACGACAGCAGAGTGCGTGGTTGGGGATGGACAGTCTTCACCCCAACCAGGAGGCAGGAGGGGGACAAGGGTCAGTTAAGCTGCGGCAAGGACCGCAGACGGCTGCAACACTCCCAAAAAAAGAGGGATCGATGTCGTTCACGGATCTACAGCTGTGGAACTTACTTCTGTCCCCTGTGATCCAAGTGTATTTTTAGCAGGATTTAAAAATAGGATTCTACATCCTCACGTGCACTGGAAAGAGAGGAATATGAGGGCCGTTCATCCTCAGACATAGGTCAGAAATCACCTTTTAAAATGCTTGGGGAAAATCTATAAACTCCATTTTTTAAATTGCCACTTACTTTAAATTGCCTGACTTGGTACATGGTCAGTTCTGGAAATAAACCAGCTGTTCATCTCATCTCCTATTTGTCTGTTACTCTGAATAGCTGGAACAGCAAGAAGTGATGTGGAGGCAACTGAATCATGAAATATGGAGCCACCTCATTTCTAATACCATAAAAATAAGTGCTATGATTTCTCGCTGGCTGGATTACTGAACTCGTGTTTTCAGTTCTTTTTCCCCCATGTGGGGTTTGTTGTGTTGCCACCAGGGTGTCTGGTTCAGAGCTGAAAGCCTTGGATAGGCTATGCACCAGAGGAGGGCTTAATTAAATGTGCATTAAAGTCTGAGGATATTTATAGTAGGGAAGTATTGGAATTTTTTATGATCTGAAGGTGTACTTCTTAATTAAATTCAGCCAGGTGCACTGCAGAGAGGAAACAGAGCTGCTAAAAATGCAGAGGAAAGCAGCTTGTATTTAGAGATACAGTCGGCTGGGGAGGGTACCAGCAGCGGCTGGGAAGAGTGCTGGTCGAATACTGCTGCTCCACGCTCTCTTGCGATTTTTTTATGAAAAACTCATTTTGGATTATATTCCATTTGTGCCCCCTATTGAAAAATGTTGTACTTGCCTCCTAAGTGCCCTGCATAAAAGCTTGTGAATCACATTTGTTGCACTCAGCCTTTTAAACTGCTATCATTGCAGTCCTGTTAAATAAAGGAATGTATTAAAAACATTTCTAGCCCTCTGCTTTCCTCTTATAATTGACGGTAAAAATAAATTAAAGGATTAATATGTAAAGGATTTCTTTCATTTGTGATGCTGTAGAGGATGTGTCTGTGCATCTGCTTCAGCTACTCATCAGCTTCAGTCTCTGACTGTGGGTAAGGAAACCAGGGAAAAGGTGATGAAAAAGATAGCAACTGATTCACCGAAAAAAATATCAACTTAAATGGACTTCATCAGGCATTTATTGTGATCAGTGTTGTGCTTTAAAGGAGGCGATAAGATAAAAATTAAACTTAAATGCCTCAAACTGGCCACTTCGTTTCATAGCTATTCATCCAGTAGAGAGACTTGATTTCTTCTGGGGCTGAACATTTGCATCTCTGTCGCTGAGCACTAGCGTTCCCATTCTGTGGGAGAGGTTGCTTTAATGTAAATTTGAATTCGTTGGCCTTTTAGGATGGAATGCCTCCCATGAAGCTTCAGCTGTCTTCATGGTCTGCTACTGCTTGTGTCAGTAAGCCTACCTGGGGCAGAAAACCAGCCGCAGAAGAAATTCATCCCACCTACCTGAGGCCCCTTTCTGGGGATGGAGCGGCTGTGGAGGGAGCCTGGATGGCTAGGTTAGATTGGTGCCTAACTTTTAGGTTTTAAATAAATAAATAAATATATGCAGTGGTTGAATTGAGTCTGCCGTGTTGTGTTCACTGGAGATGAGCAATAGCAATTGATCAAACTTAGCATAATTTTCCAGCTGTGGGGTAGCAGGTAGGCCACTTTTGTCTTTGGGACCATAGCTGATCCCTCCATAAAGGGTTAATTTACTTTATTCCTTTCCCTCACCCCAGTTTATTGGAAGTACTGTGCACGATGACCTTAAGAAAAGGTGGGAATGAAAAGGAATATAAAGAGCAAGTGTTAGAATAGTTTTATATTGATTCTTTGAGCATTCACTGAATTCTCCTTGAAATCCTAATAAACGCAGTGTTGTTTTTGAAGGCTTTCTGTCTATAGAAATCATGTTGTAAATACCTTCTAAAAGATGACCTGGTAAAAAATGTAAAACACATCTGAGAATCAAGGGACAATCAAATAAGCATGCTCTCTCAGGTAATCTTTCTCTGTTCTTCCCCAGGACCTGTTAACACGACACAAATTGTTGGTAGCAGAATTTCTGGAACAGAATTATGATGCGGTAAGTGTAAATGATAGAACAATTTTTTTAGAATCTGTTCATGCTTAGCTGGAAAAAGTGTGCTTTCAATAGCGGAGGGTTTCATGCTCCACATAAAATAGTCACATAGGACTGCAAAACTAAACATTACTTTTACTAAAGCAGAATCCTTACGTGGTGTTTGAAATACAGGTACCCTCTCTGCACACACACGGGGACACACGCCAAGGTTTCAGGAGCGCTCATAGTTTAAAAGCAAGTTTTGTTCTTCTCTGCATGCATCATATCTCCTCATATGTGAATGGAACTGTCAACTTTGTATGTAAATAGATCATGGGGAAAAAAGCATGCATATTTTTAAAGAGTTTTGTGATATTCCAGCACCAATAGGGCCATACTGGTGTCATATATAATACTTTGGGACAGAGGAGAAGAGTTACTGGAAGAAGTTTTAGGATTTCTGGAAATTACATGTACCTAACTGGGGGACTGAGGTGTGCGTATTCCTCTTACCATCCTAAGGCAATTCATCCCTTGGTTTCCTGCCATTTTTCACTTTGATTTTTTGGCTCGGTTTTGAAGCAAATGTGTGTCAGAAAAATTCCATTCGAATCAACTAAAATGGGACTGATACAGATCATGGAATTATACTATGGGTTATGTTCTCATGTTACCTGAGGTATTCTTTATTTCATTGCCAAAGTGAAAAGGCTGAAGACTATTTCTTTCATTCTAGAGTTACCAAGAAGGTTAAATAAAGATCAGGCTTATTATTGCTGAGTCACAAATGCAGCTTAACTGGAGCAAAATTAGTGTCTCTGCTAATGTTTTCTCTTAGTACTGAAGCACTGCATTGGAACAGTTCCCGTTCTACCTTTATTTAACATTTAAAATTTTAAGTATGAATTGTGGAAGTGAGCATTTTTTTAGATGATTCTTGCACAGCAGTGTTGGGGTTTTTTGCTTGTTTGGTAGATGGTTTGAACATATTGTAGCCTTCTCTCTCAGTCTTCTTGACCACAAGATTCCCTTGGCCCAATCCTGCAATAGCCAGCACGCACTTTACTGCTAGTGACCCTCGTTGGGCTTTAATGAGCTGCTCAAGGCAGGTGGCACCTTGCAAAAAGAGTTTTTGGCATACGCTAGTATGGCATGCACCGTCACCCCTTTGGGGTGTTGCGTTAAATCACAAAGCAAGTCATGACCACAGTATGAGTGAGTGGGAGTTACATGCTGGACCCATGAGTCCTGGCAGCAGATTCACCCTCTTGTAAGAGAAGGCTCTACAGGCACTGCCTTACTTCTGTCCTACTTGGCTCGCACTAGCTCCTGTTACATCCAGTCCATATGTGGTATCCCTCTCTGCGGTATTTGGAAGAGGAGTGTTCCTGGGCATTAATTCACTGCGTGATAACCAGCCAAGAAAAAAGGCCGTGAGAGCTGGGCCTGGCACTGCAGTGAAGCTTTAGAGGGTGGTGCTGCTGCAGCCTCTGCTGCCCCTCTGGGGTTGGAAGGACCAGGGGGAGGAAGGATGGACATGAATCGGTTGCATTTGTGTTTTCTTGTTACTCTAGATCTTTGAGGATTATGAAAAACTCCTTCATTCTGAGAATTACGTAACAAAGAGACAATCTTTGAAGGTAAAGTAAAGTTTCTCAGCACTTTCCTCCTAAATTTGAACTCCACGTTACACAAGATGCATGTATGGCAACGGAGCAGCCACGTACTTTCTAACGAAAAAGAAATAAGTGCTTGGGGATGCTGCTCTTACAATGTACAAGAGCTCGCTGTGACTTTTATTTCCTGTATCTCTGGTGAAGCATTGGGCTGTTTCTATGGAACACAAGCACTATCATTTTTCCTCTGACCTCAAATCTGTACTTTGGTTCACAATGTAGGTTAAAATGAACTTGAGAGTAATGTGATAGTCTCTGTTTGTCTGATGCTGCTTGCTGCTACACCACCAAGTCTGACATGACCTGCAGATGGGACCAGATAGGCATGTTAATGTAACATCCAAATGAAATGAAGGTGTCTTTGTGGGACAGCTGCACTGCACTTGCTTCTGTCCCGGCTGGCTGACACCAGCTCCTATTACACCCAGCCCGTATGTGGGATCCCTCTTTGTAGTACTTAGAAGATGAGCATTACTGGGCATTAAGTAACTCACTGCATGATAATAAGTCTAGTTACTTTTTTTTTTTGAAGGTAGTGACATTGAAACCTCTTAGGCAAGCATAAAACATGTTGCTGCTTTCTTCACATTAAAAAATATCGTGGTGGACTGAAAACACTGTGGGTTTTTTAATTGTCTCTATAGCTGCTGGGTGAATTGATTCTGGACCGACACAACTTTGCCATCATGACAAAATACATCAGCAAACCAGAAAATCTGAAGCTGATGATGAACTTGCTGCGAGATAAAAGCCCCAACATTCAGTTTGAAGCATTCCACGTGTTCAAGGTGAGCTAGTATAAGCTGTTTTCATCATAAAAGTGTCTTTCAAGGTGGGCAAGAGAAAGCCCAGAAAATTAAGGCAAAGGTTGGGGTTTACAGTCACTTCCAGTATTTGAGAATGCCTTAATTGAAAACCTTTCTATCACTCAGCCTCTGATTTCTGTTTGCGTTCCTTCAGGTGAGATCTAAAGCAGCATTTTGGTTTGGGCTGAGGGTAGTCACTCACGTAGCAATGAGGTGGATGCTAGAGGTTACAAAATACACAGCTTCTAGGTCATATCCAGGGTACCTTCCTCCAACTCTTAGGTCATTTTACTGTGTGATTCTGGGTAAAGACTGAAAAAAAAAGTCTTAAAACTCTACATTAAGATCAAAGTAGATGGTGCTAGCGCTGTGCACCAGTACGAACACAATTTGCTTTTAAAGGTATTAAAAAGGTTTGGTAAATCTGAGCTTGAAATGAGTTTAATCCTTCCATCCTTTTGCAGTGATCATTAATGCAGTCTTAAACAATTACCAGTCCTTCTTTTCATGATGATTAATAAATGAAAAATTTACTGTTTTCCCGTCAAAGGAGTTCTCTGCTCTGGGACAGAGGATAAGTTGGATTGTTACTATGCAAAACTACCTTTAATTTGGAATTAACACATTAATTTGAAGCTATGTAAATAGGGTTGTTAATGATTTTCAGAAGAGGAATATTGAGTCTGTAAGGATATCCTTCCCCAAGATGGTTAAGAAAGATACTAGATCACACCAAAAGGCATGCTACTGCAAAAAGGTTACATCACTCTCCACAAATTCAGGGTGACTTGCTGAGTTTTGTACTTCTGCCATTTCTGATTTGGAAAAAAAGCTTTCAGATCTTCAGTGTGGAGGCTTAGAGGATGTGCAGCTTCTCCAAAAAGCTTTTTGATTCAAAAAAAAAAAGCTTCAAGGAGGATTAAAAAAAAATTTCCCTCCCTGAAATAAGCAGCTTGGTAAGCTGTTCCCTTGCTGACTTCCTCCATAGTCAGCTGAACCACTGTGAGTAACTTCTACTCCTCCTCCTTATCAGGAGGTATGTGGCTCCAAGATAAGAGAGCAGTCAGGCTCCAAACACTTGCAGCCTTTGAGATGCCTATGGAGGGAAGGGATCAGAGGATTGGGCTCTCTTAGCCACTCTGTGAATAACTGCCAGATTTTTGTGTATGAAACACATGAGTTGCTGTTCCTGAATTAATGATAGGCATGGCCCAGGCCTTGGGAACAGCTGATTTTGCTTATTTTAAGAGGCATTTGAAAGGATTTGGAATAACTTGAAAGGATTCCAGCGTGTAACCATGTCACGCATTGCTGTTTCTTCCATTCTGCCTTCCCATTCCTCCCTTCCTTTCCTTTGTTGCGTCCCATTTCCAGTTAGAGTGGAGATATTGTAGGCTCAGCCTTGCTTGACCGCTTGCGATTGCCACCACGTGGACATAACGCTGAGGCCTTTGGGTGCCCAGCAAAACAAACAGTGCGCGTGGTAATGTTGTGTCTCTCCAGTTCAAAGGGCCAAACTCTGTCCTCAGATAGTAACCTCCATGGGACGTTGTTGGTTTTTTCCAGCGGTACCCATCACGGTGTGCCTCACGCTATCTCACGTGCATAGCGCTCGTTGTGGGGAAATTGCAGACTCAGAGCAGAACCTGATCAGCTGGAAATTGCTCATTTATAACCACCAGCAGCGCACTAGAGGTGCAGCAGAGCTCCCCTTTTAGGTCCTCACTGAGGATCTGGGCTCGCTGGATGTAGAAGCACTCAGCTTCTCCCTGGTGGGCAAGGGTAGTTATAGGGTATGTTATGGAAAATTGCATTCTGAATTAGCTTTGTAGAGTGGGTCAGAGAAGAGCGTTTTCCTCTGATTTCACTTCTTAAATTGAATTCTAACTTCTTGAGAACTACAAAAGGAAATCCTTAAATATTTAAGAGAACGGGGGAAAACACTACTGGCTTGTGCCCTGTTCTGCAGTGTCCCTGCCTCCTGTTTCTGGGATAGTGTCCCTCAGCCCGGTTCTCTTGTCAGCTGTAATAATTCCATGCTAATATAACTGGGAGAGGAATCTTGTCCTCAGTTTTTAATCTCATAAATTTTAAACTGTGCCTGCATTTTTAAATTGTGCTTGCAAAATACCTGTGCAGTCCTGGCTGAAATTACAGTAGACTAACCACAGTGATTTGAAATCAAAGGTCTGCTGAGAAGTGAATACTTGCTGCTCTGTCTGAGCTGCCAGAAGATTTGGGTTTAAATTACCTGATTTAGATGTTTCACCAGTTAGACACAGTTGAAATGAAAAAGTGCTTGTTTTGTAAGCATCCAGATTCCAACACTCCCATGCCCCAGCTGACCCAAAAAAAGGCATATCACACTTACCTCCCTGAGGCAATTTCTAATTATTGAAGATTCAAAACTGTAAGACAGAGATGAAAATGATGAGCACCTCTAGTGCAAAAATATTTTGCAGGAACATTTAGTGGCTGAAAATGCCAGTACCCCTTCAAGCTCTGAGAACATTTCACTCATCCAGGATGCTTTGGGTGGGAAATTGAAGACAAACAGAGCGCTCATTTGCAGTGCCTCCTTCCATTCTCCATTACGGAGATGCTTGATCTTCCTCCTAGCTCCAGCTCCTTCTTTTCCTTTTGCCTGAGTAAAATGGAGCTTCTGCCTTGCGGCACCATCCTAAAGGCCTGCAGCTGCTTTGTAAAGCTGGATGTCCCAGACAATGTATGCATGAGGATTAGCCAGTATTTAACCATCAGGAAAAACTAACACACCTCACTCCTTTCTTCCTCCTCCATAAATAATCCAATGGGGTCGCCCAGAGTTGTAGGCTTTGAGAGTCACCGGTTCTTCTCTGCGTTGATTTCAGTGGAGAGGTCTCAGCCTCGAGCATGCACACTTTGAGGAGCAAATATTGGGAAGGGCTCTCCAGCTCCTGTGATGGATTTGTGACAGTTATTAGTGGAGCCTGCTTTGAGTTTGCCTGTAGGGGAGATCTTTCAGACATACGTGGTACGTGGTATTCCTTTGACCTTACGCATTTACAAATAAAGGCTAATAACAAGCTCTCTTGGCTTTCACATAAACAATTAGATTATTTTGAGGAAAACACCCTGTAGCGGTGAATTGGGATTATGCAACTTTCTTGTTCTTAAGCAGACATTTAGCAAGATATATTTTACTGTTTAAATCTAAAAATAGAATGGGTACACTGTGTTTTGTGACCTTAGTTTCATTTTTCCATTCTTTTTCGTGTAGATTACAGAGCTACCTTCTGCAGCTTGCTCTGCAAATGGTCTCACATAGTTTGACCGTACTGACAGTTTCCTCTTGGTACAAAGCTGAAACCACGTCTGTGGGGATGTGTCCTCTCTGTTCCTTAGCTGGAGAGTTTATAGGGCAAGAAGTGTTATGCGAAGCATTACACTATAAGCAACATGAACCGTAAGGCACTTCTGTGTGCAGTTTCCTGACACAGTAAGATTGTGTGTGACCCCAGAGTAAGTCTTAAAATACCTAATCCAGGGTATCCAACCTCTGTAATCGCTTTTGCTCTGCTGTAGTCCCGGAGGGTGGTGATGCCTGGTTATTAATTGAAAGGAAATAAGGTCAGATTCTCTAGTCAAGTGATTTTGATATTTGTTTGACGAAATCCAGTGTATGACTTTTAATGGAGAAGAGAGCAACAGTTCCACTTTGGACAACTTTTGAAGCTTCACAGTTGATTTTCATTCCAGGCCTTTTGCAAATATTCACAAAATGGAACTGTGCTGAAACGGCTATTTTTAGAGTTGGAATTTTAATATGAGTACTTTCTTTATTTTGATCTCTGTCTCTCTCATATATCTGAATTAAGTGCTCTAGAAACTTGCATAGTAAAACCATAGGTTAAACAAAGTTCTCTGTGAAGAGTTTTAGCTTCAGTTATACTTCATTTTAGTGGAAATGTTCCAGATAGCGTTAATAATGATTTCTGTTTTCAGGGATTTATTGCCTCCTCTGTGACAGAGTTCTGAATGTAGGGGGCTCTTTTAAAAGTAAAGTCCCATGGTGGTCCTAATCCTGGGCTTTCTGAAGCTGATTAGTTGATACTGGCAGAATTGATTCTGTTTGCGTAGCTGAAGTATTGAATAACATTTCAGGAATTTTCTGGTCCTTTAACATTCTCTCTTTACGAGTCCCTGTTGACACTGAGCAAGATTGGCAGTCAAGATGATCTTTGTTTGAATGTTCAGTTTGACAGTTTTGCAAGGGGAAGATTATAATCTATAAATAATCAAGCAGGAGGATAAACAGGATGTGATGTCTTCTATTAAACTAAGTTCTTTAATTATTTGCTCTGGTAATACCAGTTGTAGGACCAATATGAAATGCTGGTATTTACTAGGTTTACCACTAAAACCTTCCAGTTCTGTTTGCAGACCAGATGATAGGTTTTACAAGAAGAATGATTTAGATTTCTTCATTTTGAGAGTCAGCCTTCAGTTATCTTTAATATTCATTGAAGGAAGAAGTTCAGCACTTCAAGGTCAGGCCGTAATCTGATTATTTCTGAAAATGTGGGTCCTGTCAATTTACTTGATCGTTTTCTTCTCCTGGTCACAAAGGGGGAACTGAACTCCAAAATTAAAAACTTTTAATGAAGGTTCTGTAATGGTTACTTTCCTCATCCCTGCCCGTAGGCTTACGTACTGCTTTTCTCAAAGGAAGCTTGTCCAGACAACTTAGGGCTTAATCACGGTCCAAATCCTGGAAGTATTCAGCCTCCCTCAGACAACTTAGGGCTTAATCACGGTCCAAATCCTGGAAGTATCCAGCCTCCCTCAGCATGGTGACCTGCTGTAGGTCAGCTCGTGGGGAGCTGCATCGTGGGGCTGCTCAAGCTGAGAGCATGAACTGCAGCCATCTCAGCCAGAGCCAAGCATTCATACCCACGAGATTTCAGGATTCGTATTCCTTAGATAAGGCACAGACTGGAAGCTGTAAAGTACATTCAGTAGTGATTTACATCCCCAAACCCTTTAGTTCTCATACGGGCAACCAATGCATCAATAGCAGCATATCAAAGTTATTTGCAAGGGAAGGGATATTGCTTTCAGACGCTGCAGGCAGCGACAGAACAATCAGCTACCGACAGTCCATCAAGGGTGGTGAGAGCTGTGACCTGTCTGTCTGACCCACTGGTAGATGTGTCCCTGGTAAGATGTTGCACTTCGAGTGCCTGGAGCATCTCGCAGGAAAGCTGTTACTTGAGAGTGGCTGCTCTGAAGGCATCCTTGGGAGTTGGGGCTGTTGGTGCTACTCTCAAGAAGTTTTAGGTGGCAAGTAGGCATAAAAAGAAATTATTTGAGATTATAGCTCAGGGTAATCAGAGAAAGGCGATGTGGAGGCCCGCGCAAAGATGTTGTGAGTAACTGTAGATACTATACTGTCACGGGGACCAGGGCCTGGCCACTAGATCAAGGAAAACTTTGTAAAAGACTTGGGGCCTGGGAGCGTTTGCCCAGCACGGCAGAGGTTGCAGCTCTTTCCCCAGAGCAGAGAGAAAAGTACCTTGAAGCAGGGACTCCTAGGAGTGACCTGAGGAGGAGGGATCCAGAGGAGACAAAACCATAGGCAGGGATTAGGGCTCTTACGGCATCAGGATGCCAGGGTTTAAGAGCAGATGCTTTGCCTCACCTTTATGTAATAAAAAAAATAGTCTTACCTCCCTGTCTGGGCAAAAGTACTTAGTGTGGCACTGTTGACGTGTGCCAAGCCCCATTCTTTCCACACATTCCCCACGTGTGGCATTTTCCACACCACTCATATAACACCCCCTAACTGGGACGTACAAAGCCTAACGATGAGTCCGATCTGCAGTCCTGTCCCAGGCTTTACCAGGTGGTGTTTCTGGGGGCAAGGGGCTGTAACGCAGCCCCCCAGGGCGGTGTGTGCGTGTTCCTCATCACGTTAAGGCGGCAGCTCCCTGCGCAGCTGCGCGTGGCCCAGGTTTTCACGTGGGTGCAATCTCAGCAGAGACAAATGACCCTGCGGAAGAGCCCCGGGTCTGGAGCCGGCGGCCCCGGGGCCGGGCAAGTGGTGGTGCCGCCTGCGTTCGGCCGTACAACACGCCATTCTGTACTGTCAGCAGATGTTTGTTTTCATTCTGGTTTGAACAGGCTTGGAGGGAAACGGGCCATTTTCCAGTCCTGTCCATCCTTAATTTCTTCTCGTCGGGTAGAGAATAACTTGAGTTATTTATGTTGTTGCACAAGCACTCAGGCGGTGTTTTGTTGACCAGCCATGGCAACCTCGGTGCGAGCCAGATGTGGGAGCTCCTCCGGGGGTGGCCGGGGGTGTGCTGCGCGCGCGTTCCCACCGCCGGCCCCCCGCCCCATCTGCCCCTCCTGACTGACGTCCGCAGAGCCCGCATCTCCGTGGCATCCTGAGGTCCTTGGGAAGAGCTTGTCACCGCTGGTCTTTACAACCGGCCTTAAGTTTCCTGTTGTCAGCCGGCACGTAAGGCAGAGAAAATGTTAAAGAAACAGTGTCGTGGCACAGGGGGTCGTGTTCAGAGCTGGAAAACTCTGTGGCTTTAGGCGTTACAGAAGGAAAAATCAGAGCACGGCTAGGTTTATCCTCAAAACCTACTATTTGAGAAGACTATTTGAAGCGCTGGGCTGGCTGCGCCAGGTGAGTATCTGTGTCTCACGTCACCTCCCTGCATTGCCACCCTCCTGCTCGGCGAGGGCAGCGACGGCGCCGGGCGCACCACGGCGCTCCCGCTCCTGCTCCCGCTCCTGCTCCCGCTCCTGCTGCTGCTCCTGCTCCTGGAAATTTCCACGCTCCTGTGAATGGGTTAGGCAGAGGGAAGTGGAGCCTCTGACATATTTTTCCAAACCAAAACAAAGCTGGCAAGTCTAATTTTAGGCCTGGTTTAGTATGGAAATGATATCAATACTGACACAAAGCTTTTCCGTTCTCCTGATAATTAATTTCTGTGTATTTAAGTCTTGCATGTGGAAGAGGCTGAGAATTGATAGCTCGCCCTCAACAGCTGGGTTTACAATCAAACGCTTTTATCAACAAAGAGCAAAATTAAAGGGAAGCGATACCACACAGAGGCATAGCTTTGCTTCAATTTGCTGTTGAACCAACATGTTTGTAACTCCTCTCTCTCTGCCTTGGGACAAGGTGTGTAGCAGCAGAGTATCTGCCTGCCAGCCTTCAGGTGACTTGTCAGAAAATAACTTAAGGGGATGTTGTGACTGATGTTCCTCTCTCTCTCTCTGTGTCTCACTGTGCCTGGTTTTGTTTGCGTGTTAGGTTTTTGTGGCCAGTCCAAACAAAACACAGCCTATTGTGGAGATCCTGTTGAAAAACCAACCCAAGCTAATTGAGTTTCTGAGCAATTTCCAGAAAGAGAGGACGGATGACGAACAATTCACTGATGAGAAGAACTACCTGATTAAGCAAATCCGAGACTTGAAAAAGCCAACGGCATGAAGAACTCCTCTCGTTTTCCACTGTAGGCATTAATTTCATTTGTTAAGTTCCTCTGTGTCACTTAAACACCACATTAGTGCTTGAGAAGGCACAGCAAGTGCCTGGTTTTTATTTGTCTTTGTTCCTAGATGTCAAGAGTATAGGGGTTTTACACGAAAACTAAAAAAACAAAAATCTAGAATAATATATTATTTTAAATCAAGACTATAATTATTTATGTCAGTTTAGAATCTCTCTGTAATAGAAGCTGGTTTGATGGATTTTCATTTGTGCTCAAGAAGAATTAACCTCTTTGCTTAACTTTGTCAGCAAACTCAAGCTGTTGGTGAGTGCACAGAGTAGGTCTTCTGAGGACTGTAATGTTCCTTTGCACCTGTAATTGTGACTTTGTTCTAGTGCTGCACACACACAAGACTGTGAAAGAGTACGTTTGTCTCTGGAGTTAGCTGCACTTATAGATCGGGTTTTTTAGTCAAAACAGTGGGAGATGAAAAAGCAGTAAAGGTCACGTTTTTGCTTTATTTTTGTGTTCTTTCATCTTTAAGTTTTCTTTTCCCCTAGATCAGAGGTTTTCTGTTCAGTGATAAGGAATGGATGAAGACATCAGCCAGATGAGCTGTTTCTGCCTGCCTCCCATTTCCCTGTACGTGATCTACCTTTTCCTAGGGCACAGGCTATTCCCACCAGCTCCCAAGCAGACTGAGGAGCAGCCCCAGGTACGTGGTGCCCACGTACCCCTCAATGGGAAGAAGGCAAGAGCAACCCCCTTCCGTCAAGGCCCATGCTGTATTGCTAATAGAGTGATCCAGCACCTGCTAAAATCAGCAAGGAGTCTGTCCCCAGTTTGGGTGGTGGCCAGAGCTACGAGGCTGAATCATGCCAAGCGCTGAGCCCCGGCACCAGTGCGAGAGGAGGGTGCTCAGCGTCTTCCCGTCCGGCTTCAAATCCCGGCTGGCCTCATCCTGGGGTCCCCGAGTCTGCAGGTGTTCTCAAAGCTGAGAGCATTTATTGGATACCTAAATCAAGTGTGGGAGGCCATTTAGCAGCCCCAGGCACCAAAGGCTACTTGTAGTCTGGCGTTTTCTATCCTTGTTCATCCCGATGTGAATTCAGGTTCTGCGTTGAAGTTGTAGAAGGGGAAATCGTTGCACTGTTAACATTTTAAGTTTAATAAGCTCGTGGTCCAAACAGTGTTTCCCAGGTGGGTTTGAAGAGTTTTTGGGGTCTTTTGTTTTCTAGCGGGAAATGAAAATGTTACTCTGATGCTTTATTAGGAAGTGGAGTTTGAGAGCAGGGAGTGGAAATTTCTTGAATTTTTCTGGACAGCCTAAGTTCTGAGTTTTCCTATTTGTTGTAAAAGACAGTTATCTAGCTAAAACTCTAGCTAATGCTTCAGATAAAAAGGTGACACTGAATTGTAAAAACAGGACAAGACTTTTTCCTTCATAAAACTGTTGTATATTGGGACTGATATTTTAATTTATGTGCTTTAGAAACGGGATGAAATGGAACAGATTGTGGACTCATGTTTTTTTCAGATGTCAGATATACACAACAAATGTACATCTTAGTTGCCTGGAATTAAAAAAAAATATTTACAAGCTATTAAAGGCATGATTACTGATCACCCTTTATTTCTATCTCTGTTTTTTTCCTCTTGCCTTTCTGGATAGCCGAACTCTGCGCAGTGCTAAATTCTTTCTCTCCTTTGCCAACCAGTTTCAGCAGATGGAGAGAGAGAGGGATGAGCACTTTCTTTAGAGCGAATGCACTCTGCAAGCATCGCATCTGCAGCCCTGGCTGGCAGGGAGCCTGGCAACCCAGGCTGCAGTCCCGCTGAGCCTGACTGCGATCTTCACCCCCAGCCCCGTGGGCAGCCCTCACTATCAGTGGTAGCTTGTGGGTCGATAAAGGACCGTCTCCAGAATCGCGGTCCTCAGAGCTAGTCATTTAAGTCTGATCCTCTGAGATTTGGAGCCTGAAACCAAAGGGCGCTTGGCTGTGCTCTGAGCTCCCGGGGTGGGGCTGTCTCCAGGGCTGGACTGACACAGAGACACGTGTCCATTGCCTCAGCCTCTGGAGTCGCATAAGAACATGGGGCTTCCAGCCCTCGTTTGGAAAAAGTGTCTAATGGTGTATTGCCGGGGAACGTCTGCCCTTGACAATGTGAGTGTAACCCACGCAGAGGTGCCCTGCGCATCTGTGGAAATAAAGAGGGTGGTCAGCGCTCTGAGCCGCTCTTGTCTGCACAGTCTGGACACAGAAGAGCAGTTGAAGACATCAAAACCTGGCGTTAATACGAGGAGTGAGGTTACACCCACACCCCGGTGTTTGCGTGGGCAGAAATGTGGCAGGCCAACACGGAAGAGAGCGATGGGCCCCATCCCTGCAAAGGCAGCCTCTTCCAGTGCCAGCAGCCAGCGGCCACTGGTAAGTGGTAAGGAGGGCTTGTGAAAAAGGTGTGTGTGTGCATGTGTGTCTGCAAGAGAGGAAAAAAAGGCATGCTCTTACAGTAAAAATGACATGTGACAGGCCCCTTGCAGCTTATCATACCAGAAGCCGATCCTGAAGTAAATATTGCCAACACCTCAAAGTAATTGAGTCTTCCCCAAGCTCAACTTGCTTAGGTCTTCAAAAGAAGAAAAAGCAAAAGAAATGGTGAAGATGAAATTAAGCATCATAATAATATTCACAGCAGGCAGGCACACATCCCTAATTAAATGAAAATGAGGTCTTTTCTAACACAACTTTAAAATAACGATAGAACTTCCAATTTCCTTTGGTGCATTCAGTCAAGGTGGTTCTTCTGCTTAAGCGACTGCTCCCACCAGGAGCAATTTCTCCAAAATTAGTATCTGGGGGAGCTGTGTGATTGCAGGACACAGTTCATCAGAGTGAGGACAGGGAAGAAGATTGTAGTCCGGAGAGAGAAAGAAGCTGGAGGACGCTTGGGCTGCAGCCTCTCCATTCCACTCCCCACCCAGCATTCAGGGGGGTTTGGATCGTATGAATGAATCTCTGCCAAGTTGCGATGTATGATCCTGCACATAAAACCTTATTTGATACAGCAGAGTGCCAGGAATCTTTGAACCATAAGCTTCTGTCCTGGGATTTGGGCAGCTTGTGCTCCTAAGAGAAATCTGATTAGGAGCAGCAACAGCCTCCCCTGTCTGTAATGGCATGTACGCCAGCAGGTGTGAGCCCGGGGGAGGATGCAGGACTCTGGCCTTCAAGAAACGTGGGCGTTAAGACCACTTGAGCCTCTTAATCTGCATGCTCCAGGGACAAGATCAGATGAGAAGGAAAGAATGACTTGGACCTTATCTAACGATAAAAGCACTCGCATGAGGGAGAGGAGATCTGGATCCCATTTGTTCTCTAGTGCGTGCTTTGCTCTTGTCTATGAAATTGGAGCAGGGCTAAGAGAACCCAGGCCTCTTTCCAAAGGGCGCAGTGATGTTTGGTCAGTAGAGAGGCTTTTTCTCTGGGCCAACAAATGCTTCATTTTTCTCTCTGAAGTAGAAGCACTTTGACTTTTTGGCTGGAAGCACCTTCCTGCAGAACATCTTATGCCTGGTGGTGAAAGCTGTTAGGAGGCAGGGGGGATATGGGTTTTGGTCTCTGTGACATGAAATGGAATGGCACCTAGCTCTCCCCCTTCTTGACTAAGCACTCTTGCATAACAATACAGATCTCCATGGCTTTCCACCGGTTCTGGACTTGCATTTTGGCACCTGCCACTTCCCTGTGTGGAGCTCACGCTGCGTTTGCCTTGAGCATCGCCCACTGGACTTGTACACACTGCCTGCAGCTGAACAGCTTCAAGCAGCTGAGGACTATATAGACAACAAGGATTCATTGCATTTACTGCCAAGCAGTGATCTCAAAGCCCGTTTCATAGCTCTTATGCTGATGAACTTTAAGTGGCCAGTTGCTTTCCTGTCAGAGCAGATATCTGGCAGAAATTCTGCTGATCTGCAGCACTCCTGGGGTCTGAGCAGGAGACACCCAGCACTCACTGATGCCCGGTGACGAATGCAGACTCCCAAGGGCCTTCACTGCTGGAGTCTAAAAGTCCTGGAGCTGCTGGTTTATATCAGTTTTTGGTGTAAATGCAGGCCCGGACATAGGAACTGACACATTCCCCCTGCCAGCCAGCAACTTAACAGAGCTCAGCCAGTCTTTCTACTGTTCAGGGCAAATCCCGGGCTCCTCTCCCACTGAGCGACAAGTCCAGTGAGCTATGGAGTTACTCGCTCAGGCCCACTGCGCATGTATTCCATATACGCGCACCAAGTGGCGCAGCACAAACTGTTAAGACCGGGCGCGAGGTATCCCAGAGCCTCTAGTGGGAGGTCCAACCCCACAGTGAGAGAGGCGATCCTGCCGGGGAGAGCTGCTGTGGCCTGGGGAAGAGGGGCTCAAGTCCCTGCCACCCCATTCCATGCTGAAGGGGAGCCTTGCCTCCAGCAAGGGCTGGGGTCCCTCAGCCTATGGTGTGTGAGGCCACCAGGTAGGAGCAGTCCAAGCCAGCTCTGAGCACGGTTGGTGCTGGGCAGGCAACGTGGGACAAGGCTAAGGGAAAACCCAGGACAAGGTTAAGGGAAAACCCAGGACAAGGTTAGCAGTTTTGGCCGTGTGGTTCAGCTGTAAGCCAAGCATCTCACAGGGCTGTGACTTGGCCCGGCTCCGCCGAGAGCCCCAGGGAGAGGCAGGCAGCGAGCCCAGCCCTCCTGACTCATGGTCCTGCACCACAGCGCCTGCCTCGCCCTGGCCCCTCTTTCCAGGAATGAGAAAGGAGGAAAAACAATCAATCAAGCAACCCCTTTCCTAGGGCATCGCTTTTGAGTGGCTTTGCAAAGCCACAGTAAAAGTAACCTTTTCCACCTCAGGCTGTGTCACAGCACGAGTGGCAGGAGCATGGGGAAAGCCTGTGGCCAGGGTGCAGTGCC